GCAGCTCAGGGTGGCCCAGGCCCTGGGAGAGGGCCAGGGGTCCTAGGTATTCAGCGCCCAGGCCTGCTTTTCCTACCAGACCTGCCTTCAGCCCCCTTTGTGCCGCGGGATGCCCAGCGGCACGACGTGGAGCTCCTGGAGAGCAGCTTCCCTGCCATTTTACGGGACTTCGGGGCTGTGAGCTGGGACTTCTCAGGGACTACCCCTCTGCCTCGGGGCTGGTCCCCACCTCTGGCCCCCGGGTGCTACCAGCTCCTGCTGTACCAAGCAGGCCGGTGCCAACCCAGCAACTGCCGCCGGTGCCCGGGGGCCTATCGGGCACTGAGGGGGCTTCGAAGCTTTATGAGTGCCAACACCTTCGGCAATGCCGGCTTTTCCGTTCTCCTGCCTGGGGCCCGGCTCGAGGGCCGCTGTGGGCCCACCAATGCCCGGGTCAGATGCCATCTGGGTAAGTAGCTGCCGCCTACTGACAACCTCCTTGCCTTGATGATTTTCCTCCCAGACCCTTCTCTCCGCCACAGAGCTGTCTGCTCTACAGTTCTCATTGTGCCTCTCTTCTTCCATGGCTGCTGTTGCCACCCACAGCAGCATTTCCTGAGCCTCGGCTATCTGCACACCATATTCATAAGCTTTGCCGTAGTCATTCCCACCTGTACTGCGTTTCTTCACCTTGGCTCTCCACCCCCCCCCGACCTTTTGTTCTTCGTATTTAAAAGAAATATTTATAGCACTATCATCAGTATTACTTACCCTAAGTAGAAGTACTCATAAAAAGCCTGGACAACATAGTGAGACTCTGTCTCTACAAATAATAAAGCAATTAAATGGGCATGGTGGTCCGTGCCTATGGTCCTAGCTACTGGAGAGGCTGAGATGGGAGGATCACTTGAGCTCAGGAGTTTGAGGCTGCAGTGAGCTGAGATTGTGCTACTGCACTCCAGCCTGGGTGACAAGAAAGTACTCATAAACACAAGCTGAAATTTTAAAAGGAAAGCTTTCAATAGTCTAGAACATTCTAGTTAAGTGCTCTAGTCTCTCTGATCCTGAAGCCTATACTTTTTTTTTTTTTTTT